GCCCCCTACCCCGACCCCCCAACATGGCATGCATATTCGCCTGGACGGGTTCAATATTCCCCCTCCCGAACTCCGAAATAAAGCACCCCGCCCGACTATCTACGAGATAACGAAAACAGGTGAATAGACCAACATAAAACACACAATACAGCGTGCATTTCGTACAGCTGTCATGACTCGACATCCGCTTGTGGGGGGGAACGTTTGATCGAACCCAAGTACGCCTGTACTCAATCGGCGACTAATTGGGTGTATGCACAACATTAGCAAATGCATACCCAAAAAAGGACGGCAGCACAGACAACACCTTCATGGCACCATTGCATTTCATTTCAGGAGAATACACCGAAACACACGCTGGAGAGAAAGAGGGAGCCGATTTCGATTGAACACAAAAAATCCAAAAAACAACGGCATTAAAGATAGCATCTTTATTACACCTCTGCATTTCATTTACGACAAAGACACAAAGAAACGAGAGAGAGAGAGAGAACGAAATCGATGTCGTCATGTAAAAAAGGATAGTGCATACTGCACTTCATCGATGCCAATTACAATTCAGAGTTGACGGAATCATCCGTCCCGTCACACGATCGAGGCCAATAACAAACGAGATGGATAATGTAAAAAAAAAACAATTTTAAAAACGAAAACAAATTTCACCGAAGGACTCATCCACCGAATCGAACCAGTACCCAATTCCTTGGCCAGCACCGCCATTGGGGGAACGGCACATCGACGACGATGGCGATGGCTAAGCTAAGCTACAATGACGACGGAAAGACTATCACTTTCGCTCTGTCCAATTCCATGCAAGCGAATAGAGACCACAACAGAGGCGACACTACGTCTAACGTTTGCCGATGGCCTTCACTATCTCCAGCAAGGCGTGACACATAAGCTTGCTGACTTCGTCTGACGCTTCGTAGTGCTTTTTCTGCACTTCGATCTCCGCTTCCAGCGCCCCGCACTGACGTATGGCGATGGAGCAATAACGTTTGTTGTTGCTCTCCATCGTTGACGCCATTAACGCCCCGTGCTTCTCCATGCACTCCGTCATTGCCTCAAATGTTTGCTGCCTTGTGCTCTTCCTCTTGCCGAAACCGCCTGCGCCACCCGTCGTCTGCGAAGAACCTTTGGTGGACCCGTCGTCGCCGTCGTCGTGCTCTGCACCACCGCCCCCGTCGCCCACAGATTCAGGATCCGCACAGGAGGCGGACGGCAGACGCACACCACCCTGAGCGCCAGTGTCCGCGACGTTCTTCGGGTTTCTGGTGTGGTTCTTGGCGGTCGACCTCAGTATCTCGTCGTAAAACGCACGATCCATATTGAAACTGAAGCCCTTCGACATCCTGTCCTTCCCAGACAATTGGAAGAAGTCCTGTTTCCCGGACAGTCCTTGGAAATGATGAACCTTCTTGAACTGCTGCATCAGATTTCAATTCTTCCCGCACCGATCGGCCTCTCTATCGACGCCCACCTTCTTTCAACCTCGTCGCCACATCCAGCCACTTCCATTCTCGCGGCTTCATCCGAGCGTACGCGTGGCCCATCCCTTGCAAATGCGCATCCTGATCACGTTTAGCCCGTATGAGGGTTTTAATGTCGTTGACGGACCAGAAGTGACGACCTCCTTCACCATCGACGTCACCTTCGGCATCGCTGCCCTTGCCTGCCGTCCTTTTGCCCCGACGACCATTACCGCCACACGACTTCGTCTTCCCGCCCCTCCCTCCCATAGCGGCCGCCTGCTTCGACGACGAAATGTTGGTTGCGTGGTCCTCCCAACCTTCAGCGTCGTTGTCGTTCCAGTCGGGGTCGTGCACGTCCCCCCCTGCTTCCTCGCCGTCGTGCCCGTCTTCCCCAACACGCAATCGCTGCACCCCCCGAGTAATGGACTCCTCCCGCACTGACCTCATCAACCGTCGCTGTTCTGCCCACACCTCCCTTCCGTCACGTGCGTCACCAACATCAGCAACGGCAGGTGTCGTCTCCCTACACTCGCCAACACGACGACCTGCACTCGAACCAGCGGACAGGGGAGACGGAGACTGCATCCACTGGGGGCGAGCGGAGGCACCCCTACACACAGATGGCGACCGAAATTGCTGCCTAGGAGGGTCGTTGTTGTTCCCCGAAGCCCCCCGCAGCGGCGCTGGAGACCTGGGTGATCGCTGAATAGTCGTCACGTCGCCGCCATCGTCATCGGGATGGGGGTTCATGACGACCGTTCGAGAGACGACTGCCGACCTCCTGCTGCCGAGTCCAAACGACAGATTCACGCCGCCATCGCAATCGGTGTTGCTGAGCCCCTGCTGGAGGAGTTCGGTGTACGACTGCATTTTACCGTCGTCGCGGCTTCCAAACAGCTTTGTAGCCGCCCACTCCTGGATGGATCCGCTTCCCAGCGACACGGTCCGTGATCGTCTATCGTCCCCTTCCTCGTCGTCTGTGTCAGGCAGAGGTTGCAAGTGCGGTGGCAAGTGCACGTGCCCGGACCGCTCTGACGGCCTTGGACTATTCGACGGGCTGTGCCCGGACCACCGCCACCGCGCTCCCCTGCGGACCCACTGATCGCCTTCCGGCCCTCCATTCTGTCGTTGTTCTTCACACACCTCCTTCTGCGACCACGTCGCGGAAGGCCGCCGAGGATGCACACGTGGAAGACAACCAGGAGGAGGAGCAATAGGACGACCAGCAGTAGCAGCGGCAGCCTCCGAAAGACGTCGGCCATGAAAAGCACGTGGATGACAGTGGCAGCTAGTAGACAACGGGGGATCTATCACGTAACGGCGACGGACACTGCTGCAAACGCCTTACCGCAACAAACGACAAAAGTACGGTAACGCATGCCATTTGTGAACACATTGCGCAATCGCCCTGCCAGGGGATGGTTCAAATATTCGAATCTTGCGACCGTTGGGCGCCTTCCCGCTCGGGGACAACGGCGGCGCAAGAAAGCCGATTTTCGACGTCGGGGAAGCGACCGGGCCACAAAAGGGGACCGTTGGCGCACTCTTCCATGAAGCCGACCGTTGCCGATCGAAGATGTCCGTCCACGGGCGCCAGGAACAACAGTGGTACAGACGGCCGTCGCAAAATGTCGTCGACAAAGCTGCCGACGACGTTCCGATTCTTCCGGATGCTCGACCTCCGAGGGACCTCGGGAGGTCCCTTGGGGAACGCGTCAAAATGGTTGTGGCCCGAGGAATCCCTGAGGAATCCCCGAGGAAATGTTTTCACTTTTTTTTTTCAATTTCTTCCCCGAGGATAAGTGGAACGATCATTTCCTCGGGCGATTTACGCGCCTGAGGAGTGTGGAACGAGCCCCATAGTCCTGCCACCTTGATCTGCTGACTGTTTGACGTTGGAAAACAAATGCTGAAAATTCTGGAAATTCTCTGAATGCCAATTTTCATTCAAATGCACTTTTGCCTCACCGTTTCCAACTGTTTTTTTTTTTTTTTTTACTCTACGGAATGATGCAAAAAACTTTGAAATTTTGAATATCCATTAACCACTCCACCGATGTTGCTAAGACGCCCTCATCCAAGGATATCATACGTCTCCTTTCAAGCATGTTAACGAACTGATATTCGTTAGCCCATAGACACAAAGCCATGGCGTAACGCCATTCGACTTCGTCCCCTTTTCCTGTAAATGGGAAGATGCTCATCCATGGACCCTTTTTGAAGTTGTGCCGAGTAGTGGTCATATCGTTTGTTCCTTGACCCCAACCACTCGAGATGAGTGAGAATACACGATTCATCTCGTCTCGTCTTCCCCCCGGATTTATAAATCCCCAAACAGTCTGGCACAGTCGAGCTTTTTTAAAGTCATGGCAAATATGAGTAATTATATGACAACACATACGCACACACATGTTTTTTTTTTTTGGTTTTTTTTTTTTACTTTGCGCGCCCCCGAAGACTTCCAAGCGTGTGCACCGGCAGGGGGCGCACATTCAGTTATATCACACTCCCTTCCACGTGGCGCGTTTGAACGCGTTTGAACATGCCACGTGAAGGTTTGAACGGGCTCATTCGAACATGAACACGCGTTCTCGGCGTTCTCGGACTGTGTGAGTGATATTGTTACGAAACCCCCACGTCAGCAGACGTGGCGGACTGCAAGATTCGGCCACAGAGATTAGGACGAAGAGGCACTTCAGTGTACATTCATGCTTTCTTCGAAATGCACCTATGGAAAAATACATCAGCCACTTTTAAAAAACTTTTTAGAAACTCATAGGCTTTTATTACTCATGCCCTGAGGTAGATGCAAGCCACACGAATCCTTTGGTATTCTTATAAAGCTCATTCAAGGAGGCTCAGAGCCGAAAGTCAAAGGCAGGGGGGAAAGGATAGAGGGGTAGAGAGGGAGAGAGGGAGGAGAGAGGGAAAGCCAACAGAGAAGAAGAAGAGAAAAAACACCGAGAACGAAAGACATCCGGAATATTCCATAGCATCGTTCATTGTAAAAGGAAAACAGCTGCCAGTACAAGATATCATTGGCGAGGATACAATGGAGCTGGATAAGATCTAAACAAAGGTTTTTGTTTAAGCTTATTACGCGAACATCATAGCCTAAACATCACGCTCAACTTCGGCTCAAGAAGAGCTAAATCCGAAGAACCCGCATGTGCTAAGCGGGACAACAAGTTGCATCAGTAAAACATTTCGTAGAGAGGGCTCAAAAGGGAGCACACATCCAATCGTAAACAGATTATCACGAGGGCGCGAACGAAACCTGGAAGCTATTTCAATTAACATAGGATATGGGGCCATGGGCACAATCCTAATTAAGAGATTGCAATCAGATTGGATCGTTCATAGGAGGCAACTATGTATGAACCAAATAGTAACAATAATGGGCGCGGGTGTTCGCAAAACACGTATTACACATGGGAACCAAAAAACACCCGGTGCTTAAGCCGAACTCCGCACCATAGAACCACTTAAGTGTTCATGCATGGATCCTGACACAATGACTAATTGATATACCGTTAATTCCGATCCTTAGCCTACATATAAGAGTGGCAAGGGAAGAAGTTGTTATCTCGAGCCTCCCCCCACCAAAAGAGAATAATGAGCACAAATAGGAATGAATAGTGCAAGCAAATCACAGCGAGCACTACGCTGGATCTGTCATCTCGATTGAGCCAGCTAATTGTACAAACCCCACTTTCCTCATCAAGCAACCTGCCGCCAAGCACTAAAGTAACAATAGTGACGAGGAACATAGCTCCTAAAGAAATCAGCATCCAAGGCATCCGCCACAAGCTATCGTGCGCCATTTTTCGGACCATCATGACACCAAACATCTAGATCTACCAGAGGGTACTGCCGTACGATTGAGATGATCGGAAAGCTGAAGGCAGATTGCTTTAATGCAATCACTCTCCAAATACGCGATGAAGGCGAGGTATCCGAGAAGACTAGAGCAGATCGTGACGATTCCTAAGACAAAGATAGCAGCCTTCATATCACTTCGATGCGCTTTCATAAGCAGCCACAAGTTATTATGAAGTGCATAAAACAACCAATCAAAGAAAGTCGAAACACAAATTACAAGCCAGATTACAAGACAGAGATCGGTCAGACAGCATCATATACTGAAAACAATATGCATACACTTGAAAGAAACTTCATAAAAAAAGGGGGGAGGGGGGGAGAAGAAGATGTAGATCGTCCCAATCCGGTCAAGTGGCACCTCATATGCCGGCATAACAAAAAGAGTACGTGGGAGTTCCCAAAGGCCTTTTCGCCAATCCCCACATCCGATTGGCTCATCAGGGGTCATAAAACATCCCCAAGTTTTACGCTCCGGAAGGGACTGTTACTCTCTTTTGAGTATCCAAAGCAAGGAGAGAGGGAGAGAGGGAGAGAGATGGATGGAGGAAAAGAGGAGAGGAGGGGGKGGGGGTGGCGTGGTGGGCAAAGTATCCGGAACGTAAGAGTATTACCGCCGCGCGGGACGCAGATGATGTCGAAGCCCCACTCATGCTTCTCGTCCTCAAATCCTCGTCAAGAATATTCCTCACACAAGAAGCAGTAGTGTGGCTTAGTCGAGGAGACAAAGAAGAACGCACGGAGAGGTGAGAACTTCAATCACCCAGCGGTAGCGGGAGGCAGGGCAAGGAACTGAGGGGAGGAAGGAGAGAGAAGAAGAAGACGTGTGTGACAAAGGAAGAAGGGGAGCGTGCGAGATAGCAAGGAGCTTGGAGAAAGACAAGAGAGGGGGAGAGAGAGAGGGAGAGGGGGAGAGAGAGAGAATAGTTAAAAGAGGGAAAGAACGAGAGGCCAGAAAAAAAGCTATGGAAAAACAGCCCGATGCCCTTGAAAAGATGAGAACCCCGAAGCCGCAGTGATCCAACTTCAGATTCGAAAGAGAAAGCGCGCGCACATGGTCGCGCCCTCACGTGATGGGAAAGAGATCTCTGCGATGCAACTGTTGACGCGTCGAACAATTGTGAGCAGCGGCGTTTTCCCAACTATTAACGCCGGAGAGTTTGAGGAGGGTATAAATCGGATCAATTCAAAGCATACATACCAGGGCGCCAACAGTTCTTCCAAAGGGAAGGGAGGAACAGAAGGGTGAAACTGGAGATTTTGAGCTAATAGCACTTCGAAAACTAGGCGGGAAAGTTTTACCAGTTAATTTGACGCTTCAACGTGGGCTCCCCAATGCAAGCCATACTGGATCGAACCCGCATGGAGGCCTTCAACATTATCGACGGGCCCAAAAAAAAAAATTCCGCAAAACCCGGGGATAAAAATTTTTCGTAATAATTTTTATTTTTCATTTATCCCTAGGCACCATTATCCATGCTGTCAGGGTCAGGGTGATTGTGGTAGAGCCTTTTGTATCCACAGCAATTCACCCATAACCAAAAGAGTTCGGTCCGCCCTTCCTACATATAAAGGGAAGACTAGCCAAACAGTCATAGTATCAGGGAACCCAAGAGTGCTTATCAGCCCTGGGGTTAAGCTGCATCTGTGAAAAAAACTTTATAGGGAAATCATTCATAGCAATTGTCCCTTTTATGAATGGGAGGTCCCAAAATTATTATTCATTTCTATAATTGGTTGCGATTATCTTATACATATTTATATATATATTCCTAAAAATTATTATTTTATACATATATATATATCTATAAAATCTTCCTGAATATACCTGGAAGGCTCACCTTTTATTTTTTATTTTTTATCTTTTTATATTTTATATCAGATGTATGTGTGTGTGTGTGTGTGTGTGTGTGTGTGTGTGTGTGTGTGTGTATGCGCGCACGTTGTCGTAGGGCTCGGCATTCTGGCCCTCCGCACTGTCCACAGTGTGTCAAATTTGCCACATCGGTATGACATTCGGGCTTGCAGTTGGGGTTAAATGTACCCCGCTAGCCTAACCTCAGGGAATCGCGGTCCAGTCCGCTCTGCTTGACGGCAAGAGTCTGGGCTGCGGCTGATCAGACTAATTAGCCCTTGCCCTTC